TGTCCCCCTGTCCCTCCGTGTCCCCGTGTCCCCCCGTGTCCCCGTGTCCCCCCCACTGTCCCCACGAGCTGCGTGTCCCCGTGTCCCCCTCCCAAAAAACGCGCACCGGGAGCCGCTGGAAGCTGCTTTTTATTGGCCACGTTCGGGGCGGGACAGGCGCGGACGGGCCCCGGGGGTGGCGGCCCCCGGGGCGGGCACGGACACGGCGGCACAGGGCGACAATAATTACCTCGTTATAATAATAATAAAAAATTAAACATCTCCCGCGCAACAAAAATAGATTTATGTACCGGGGCCGGGGCGGGGCGCGGGGCCGGGGCCAAGCGCGACGGGACAGGCGGGGACGGAGCGGGAGGGACGGCAGAGCCCGGCCGGAGGCGGCGCCCGGGGCGGGCGCACCTGGGCAGGTGAGCCGGGGGTCCCGGGGGCACGGGGACACCTGGAGAGGGTGAAATTGTCCATGGGGACACCTGCAGAAGGACGAGGTGGCCATGGGGACACCTGGAGTGGGTAAAGGTGGCCACAAGGGACACCTGGAGCAGGTAAAGGTGGCCATGGGGACACCTGGAGTGGGTAAAGGTGGCCACAAAGGACACCTGGAAAAGGAGGAGGTGGCCACAAGGGACACCTGGAGCAGGTAAAGGTGGCCATGGGGACACCTGGAGCAGGTAAAGGTGGCCACGGGGACACCTGGAGAAGGAGGAGGTGGCCACAAGGGACACCTGGAGCAGGTAAAGGTGGCCATGGGGACACCTGGAGTGGGTGAAAGTGGCCACAAGGGACACCTGGAGAGGGTGAAAGTGGCCACAAGGGACACCTGGAGCGGGTAAAGGTGGCCACAAGGGACACCTGGAGCAGGAGGAGGTGGCCACAAGGGACACCTGGAGCAGGAGGAGGTGGCCATGGGGACACCTGGAGTGGGTAAAGGTGGCCACAAGGGACACCTGGAGCAGGTAAAGGTGGCCACGGGGACACCTGGAGCAGGTAAAGGTGGCCACGGGGACACCTGGAGTGGGTAAAGGTGGCCACAAGGGACACCTGGAAAAGGAGGAGGTGGCCACAAGGGACACCTGGAGTGGGTGAAAGTGGCCACAAGGGACACCTGGAGCAGGTAAAGGTGGCCACGGGGACACCTGGAGCAGGTAAAGGTGGCCACGGGGACACCTGGAGTGCATGAAAGTGGCCACGGGGACACCTGGAGCAGGAGGAGGTGGCCATGGGGACACCTGGAGCAGGTAAAGGTGGCCCCTGGAGCCCCTCAGAGCAGCGCGGAGGGGACACGGGACATCTCCAGGAGGACACAAATGACACCTGGACCTTCTGTGGGCACGGGGACACGGCGGCGGCTTCTCCAAAGGGGGTGGAGGTGGCACCGGGACCCTCCTGGGGAACCGGGATGGGCACAGGGACCTTCAGCGGGGACTTGGGGACACCTCAGGCGCCACAGGTGCCACCAGGGCCAGGCTGGGACATCTCCGAGGCGGTGGAGACGCGGCAGGAACGGCCCCGGGTCAGGGACAGGCACCTGCGAGGTGCCGGGGACACCACGGGGACCTCCAAGGTGATGGGGACACCACGGAGAGCTTCTCCAGGTGACGGGGACACCACGGAGAACTTCTCCAGGTGATGGGGACACCACGGAGAATTTCTCCAGGTGACGGGGACATCACGGAGAACTTCTCCAGGTGACGGGGACACCACGGAGAACTTCTCCAGGCGATGGGGACACCACGGAGAATTTCTCCAGGTGACGGGGACACCACGGAGAGCTTCTCCAGGTGATGGGGACACCATGGAGAACTTCTCCAGGCGATGGGGACACCACGGAGAATTTCTCCAGGTGATGGGGACACCACGGAGAATTTCTCCATGTGCCGGGGACAGCACGGAGAATTTCTCCATGTGACGGGGACACCACGGAGAGCTTCTCCAGGTGATGGGGACACCACGGAGAATTTCTCCATGTGACGGGGACACCACGGAGAACTTCTCCAGGTGCCGGGGACACTACGGAGAATTTCTCCAGGTGACGGGGACACCACGGAGAATTTCTCCATGTGACGGGGACACCACGGAGAACTTCTCCAGGTGCTGGGGACACCATGGAGAGCTTCTCCAGGTGATGGGGACACCATGGAGAACTTCTCCAGGTGCTGGAGGATGGGGCAGGGACATCTCCAGAGGGACGGGGGGGTCCCGCGGGACCCCCGAGCGGCCGCAGGGTCGCGGGAGCCTCGTCACGGCCACCAAGCGCCACAAAAATAAAAATCCAAAAATGAAAATAACCCTTGCCAACCTACCCCTAAAATAAAAATAAAAATGAAAAAAAAAGAAAAAAAAACCCTAAAAATAAAATAAAAATAAAAAATAAAGATAAAAAATAAAATAAAATAGAAAGAAAATAATAAAATAAAAATAAGAATAAAACCAAAACTAAAACTAAAATAAAAATAAAATAAAAATAATAAAACTAAAATAAAAGTAAAACTAAAAATAAAATAAAAATAATAAAACTAAAAATAAAACTAAAATAAAAGTAAAAAAAATAAAAACTAAAATTAAAAGTAAAAATAAAATAAAAATATAATAAAAATAAAATAAAAATAAGAATAAAACTAAAACCAAAACTAAAACTAAAAATAAAAATAAATACAAATAATAAAAAAATAAAAATAAAAATAAAAATAAAAATAAAAATAAAAATAAAAATAAAAATAAAAATAAAAATAAAAACAAAAATAAAAACAAAAATAAAAACAAAAATAAAAATAAACATAAAAATAAAAATAAAAATAAAAATAAAAATAAAAATAAAAATAAAAATAAAAATAAAAATAAAAATAAAACCAAAAATAAAACCTGCCCGGCGGTCAAACCACTCCCCCGGCAGGCGGGGCGGGCCAAGCCCAGCCCGAGGCGCGGCGGGGGCGGGGAGGAGGCGCCCGGGGCCGGGGTCCGGGGGACCGGGACCGCTCGGGCCGGGCTCGGGGGAGCGGGACCGCTCGGGCCGGGCTCGGGGGAGCGGGACCGCTCGGGCCGGGCTCGGGGGACCGGGGCCGCTCGGGCCGGGCTCGGGGGGAGCGGGGCCGCTCGGGCCGGGCTCGGGGGGAGCGGGGCCGCTCGGGCCGGGCTCGGGGGAGCGGGGCCGCCCCGCTCACAGGGCGAGCAGCGAGGGC